ATGATCTGCATTTGCTTTGGAGAAGAGCACCCCCTGGTGGCTGCCAGCCCCTGCTGCACTCTCTTTGATAAAAATTCTGTTCTATTCTAGAAAACCGCAGAAGTGCCTAAGTCTTTTAAATGAAACAGCATCTTGAGGAGAGTTTACCATTTTAGCTGACCTGCCGAAATCGCTTGATTACGTTGGGGAAAGAAAAAAAGCACTATATATGCGTCATGTTTTTTTGTTCCGGTTCTCATCATTGGACTCACTGTTTGGCTGTCTCTCAGACACATTACGAGCAAAACCTCACAGCTCACAGTTACTAAAGCTACTGCAGGTAGTTTACATGGGAAACTGATTACTGCGATACAGGAAATGTGCTGTGATTCGTTTAATGGTTGTACGGTGATTCATCACTGAGACAAATGGATCAGGCCAGCGTTTATTTTGTGTGGTGGCCATAATGGAGTTTGTTATTAACATTTATTTTGTCCTTTATTATGATGTTTTACAGTAACACTTACAATAACATTGTGTAGTTGAAACATCATACTTAATATGTTTTATATATTTTTTTTAATACAGCATTTTATTACCTTTTTTCAGTGTTGTAAAAAACCTAATTATAATCATGACATTTTCATGATGTTTGATTAACAGACAATCCATTAGTTCAGCATGAATTACTGTTCGTGTTTTTTTAATTATTTCTATTAAAGTTTTCATTCATTATGATTTTTATTTTCTTCACAAAAGTTACAGTTTTAATGTAATTTTTGATGTGGAAAGTGATGAAATATATTTGTTATTACAATTTAGTTTTTGTTAAATATTAGTAAACGACAATGCTGTAACCTGTTATATTTGAAAATGAATGTAATTTATTCAGCTGTACTTCAATTGATTGGGGGTTGTCCACATGGCCAATCCCTTCAGGTCAGCCAATGAAAATCTTTCTAACAGGCGGAATCTGAGAGCTACAAATAACAAGCTTTGTCTCATCACTGCTTCGTCATTAAGATGCAACCCATTTCAGTTTGAGAAATGCTTTAAAATTTGCTTGTATTAATGGTAGAGCCTTTATTGTACTGGTAAAATTGTATCCAAAAAGAAAGATTACCTGTACTTCTTCATATACACTTGTATTTGCTACCAATATTTCATTGTTGCTATGTCAGCCTAGTTATGACTGGTTACATTTTTTGTAAATTCTGTTTTTTGTTAACTAGATTTCTTTTTATCCTATTACTCTAGATGATTGTGAATCAAATATTGCGACATTTTCTATTTCATTGTCAGTGTCGCACCGTAATATTTTTCTCTAGAAGTTAATCACCTATGTATTGATGTAAATGTCGTACTACTTTAAGAATGAATGTTTACCAATTAAATATAGAGTTCAATTTTAACTTAAAATCAGTTTGTTCAACAAATGAGAATAGTTGAGCAAACAAATATTCATCCCCTTGCAATGCACTGTTAATCTGTCTAACATCTACAGACTTGCATAAGCTAGAAAACCTAGAAAAGGTGCTCTTGATTGTGTCGGCAGTTTTAGGTTTGCACTTTGTTCCCATAAATGTAAAAAATAAACACTTCATTGCATATTGCATGGGTTATGGCAAAGTTCATTTTCACTAAGCAATGCTAATGTACTAACGCCTGTTATTTTCAGTCAGTTGGAAATACTCAGTTTAGATCCACGATGCCTCCATTTCACACCAAAACAAAGACTGTGTTATTTGAGTAAAGTCAGTGTTTGTGGACATTTGAAAGACAATGATTCTGTGAGGGAGATTTGCTATGATGATGCTTCAGTTTGAAGAATGTGGTGAGCAAACAGCTCAGATATAACTGCAACACAGCTGACAGATAAGCAATTCCTAAGCAGACAGCAAACTCAGACTCACTTTAACAATTAACTTTGCCTTACTTTTAGCATCTTTGTATGTTGAGTTCATAAAATTTAAAAGTTTATATATAATCTTACTGATATGACTTTGGGTTTTCTCAAACTTTTTTTCCATTACGCTGTCATTTATATTGCAGCCATTTGCATACACGATGTTTGACCTCTGGCATGGAAACAAGATGTCATTGCATCTTTTGCTTTGAATGCCTTGTGAATGAAAGCCTGTGCTATGTGTGCCACAGAGAACACTAGTATACATGACTGTGGGTACCACATCTGAACTGCTGTAGCAACATATTCCGTCTGTAACACAGTAGTCCATCCAGTTTGCAAAAATGATACAATAAAGAAACCCCTATTGGATTTAATTTGTTTTCAATGTAACCATTTAGAATGTTTTATTTGTGAATATATTATGTGGCATTTTACGTTATAGTTAATTGTTTTGGTTCCTGAAATATGGTGTAGAACCTATTGAAGCGAAACAAATAAAACATATTATTACAAAGATTTTGTTGCTGTGATTTACCTTATTTCCATCATTTCACTGGTGTCCTTGAATGAGACATTGTTCAAACCTGTCCTTTTGATACAGTATGTAGTATGCATGAGAGCTTTAACAGAGCTCTGAAATGTTTATACTTGTATACCTAAAATAACTTGTAATAGTTTTAAAATACATGTTATAAAAGCCTTATGGACATTCCAGGGACTTCCTGTTTATTTCAGGATTTAAATCCTTCCATCTTCCTTAACCACTTATACAAGGTAGAGTCACATTAAGCCTGGAGCCTGTTCCAGAATGTACACCATGGATGGGATGCCAGTTTATTATGGCACATTCACACGGCAGACGTTTTAAGAGACCCACCAAACCTGCCTTTGGGCTGTGGGAGGAAACCCATGTCAACCATTGATGGATAAAGAAATTGAGGAGGTACGAAGATAATACACTTTACAGTATTACAATAGTAAAATTTTCCAAAGTGAGAAAATATGTTTTCAAATGACAATAAAATTTTACTAAAAAGGGCTATTTCAAAGTTTCTTGTTTCATAATATAATGTCAAAATTGGACGAAGTATTATCTCCTGTGGTCCTATGGAGCAACCTCTTCTGATGTGAACACAGGGAGAACAGCCAAGGAGAGCAAGCCAGGGAGAACATGCCAAGAAGAACATGCAAGGGAGAGCATGCCAAGGGGAACATGCCAAGGAGAACATGCCAAGGAGATAATGCCTAGGAGAAGATGCCAGGAAGAGCATGGTAAGGAGAGCATGCCAGGGGGAACATGCCAGGGAGAACATGTCAAGGGGAGCATGCCAGGGGGAGCATGCCAAGGAGATAATGCCTAGGAGAAGATGCCAGGAAGAGCATGGTAAGGAGAACGTGCCAGGGGGAACATGCTAGGGAGAACATGCCAAGGGGAACATGCCAGGGACAACATACCAAGGAGAGCATGCCAAGGAGATCATGTCAGGGAGAACATGCCAAGGAGAACATGTCAGGGAGAACATGCCAAGGAGATAATGCCTAGGAGGAGATGCCAGGAAGAGCATGGTAAGGAGAGCTTGCCAGGCGGAACATGCTAGGGAGAACATGCCACGGAAAGCATGCCAGGGAGAGCAAGCCAAGGAGAACATGCCATGGAGAGCATGCCAGGGAGAGCATGCCAAGAAGAGCATGCCAAGTAGAACATGCCACAGAGAGCATGCCAGGGAGAGTATGCCAGCTCCACACAGAGTTCGGGTGGGAGTCCCTGGAAGTTTCAGCATGCAGTATTACTCACTGAGCCTTCATAAATATTTATTTATCTCTTAACCAAAACAGTATGTCATGAATTTAAATATTCACTATTTTTTAATCTTCTGCCTGGCAGAATTAAAAGGCTGAAGACAAACTTTTACAAAACAATTTAAATACTGATATGTACTAAATATGCTACTGTCATTTTATTGCATAGTCACACTCACATCATCTCGTGTGTTCGGGGGGGTAACTAGAAATTCTGGGCCTCCTGATAAAATGTCACCTTGGCCTCTGTTTGGGCCTCCTGATGCTACCCCTCCGACCAGGGGGCTGACATGACATTGTCCGCTCTATAAAATGGGTTGGGGGGGGGGGGGGCTGTGAAATCGATGTTGGTTGTTTTTTGT